ACCCAAACCATTCTGTGATTCTATGGTCTTTATTTTTTTAAATCATCTATATCACTGCTTAATTTGGTAGATTTCTGGTTTCTGTTTGAAATGAATATAGTACAGTTACATTCTGAAAAGCAGGCTGGCCAGCCAGAGGTTTAATTCTTTGTAAGGAAAACACATGACACAATAAGGGCCACCTTCTTTCACCAGGCTATTTTCATCTAAAATAGGCCTTTATATTTTCCCCACATTACAGCTTCTATACAAGATGCATTCTCATAGAAACATATCCCACACCTACTGTCGTTCTAATGTACTGTGAGGTGCAAAACCACACCAAAAGCTATTTCAGTTTTTAAAGAATATCCTCAAACAACACAGCTACACCTAAATGTTCATCATCATTACTTCAATAATCTCACTGAAGCCAGAAAAAAATTCCAAATGCCCAAATCATTTTTTTCTGAAATATTTGTTTGCATTTGTGAATATGAAACAGCAGAAACTACATCCAGTATTTGTCCTATAAAGAGAAAGCTTTTTCCATCCAGACTGGTAATTAGGACTGGTGATAAACATGACAATAAATGATATAACCAGTTTCTGTCATTCCACAACTAGGAATAAGCTATCACAAGGTTTCATTAAACATTTTCATTTCAACACAATGTAGAAATTACACTAATTTACAAGACAGAGAGGTTCTGTTGTAATAACTTGTTTTATTTCATAGTTCCATCTAAGCTAAAAATAGACCCGATCTAGTGTTTGAGAGGATTATTGCACCTTGAGGGCACCCAGCAAAACACAAAATAGATTTTAAAGATATTTGGTACTGATTTGAAATATCATGTCTGTACATTTTAGGATGCAAAATGAAAAATGACCACATAAGATGAACACAATGACAAAAACCAAAGCAATACCTCATCGATGCACAGAAACTGATTTAATTGCAGGGAACCTAATTTCTATATATCCAAGGCTACAAAACTGCCTTTTACGTGGACGATATTTCAGTCTAGCGTAACGAAATTAAGCTTTAGGAAAACTAGTCTTCATCAGTGCTGACAAAAGCTATTTCCCTTGAAAACTACACCTGAGCTCAGACAGCTTCAGAGCAGTACTCATCTTTAATGATAACAGGTTATACAAGCAGCAGAGCACACACATATATAGAACCACCTCAGTATACGTGCAAATGAAACTGTACTGAAGAAAACCTACAAAACCTAAAGTACAACTTGAATGAAATCAAACTCCATTAATATATAACGAAACTGGAAGGAAACATAAACCTATCCCAAAGAAGCGTTTTTTCAATTTAAAAATACCAGAAAACAACTGAATTTCACTCAAAAAGAAGACAAAATTAAGAAGAAAGATGATAGACAAGAAACACTCATCGTTATCTTACTGAATAATATAAATTTGGAAAGAAATGTGGTCATTATGGTTATATGCCACCCAATATGGTTCCCATGCTACGCAAAACATCCTATTCTTTCTGAAGGTACTGGTAATACAGCAGTCCAGGAGCTCCCATTTTCTACTGATATGGTTGCTACTGGAAAGAAAGGCAGATTTTTCACCTACATTCCTGAAAAAACATGCTTCGAAATTAACCTTTAACCTACAGCTCACACTGCATCCAGCCTTTGTGCTAACCCATCACTGAAGGAAACATTAAACATTATATTCAACTACTAGTTAAAAAAAACCCACAACAATTCATACTTTCTTCTTTCACCTGATGTTAGGAAAGACAGACTTTGCCAAAAAAAGTGATGTATGCTTCAATGACTGAATCTGCATTCGGTAGTCCAGAAGACCCATATGTGTTATAAAAATCTACACAGCTTCAAATCACTCAAATTAACAATACCCAAAGCACCATCTATTTTAATGTCAGGTAATTAACTATTTCAGTCAACAGTCTAACTGGTTTTCCCCTTAATGGCCTTAAAATTTCCTATATGCATGACAATTTTATATACATATGGGTCACTTGTTCAGTATGTTAGAAAAGTATTTTAAAATAAATTGGTAAGAATATAAAAGCATGGCAACAACGTGGTAACACTGTAGTCTTATATGCAAACTTCTGCAGTGGTGTATCTTCAGAACAGTTTTTTAATGTGCTATTTTTAAATGAAAAAGCCTTTTCAGCTATTTAAGCACAGAGAAGAATAAAATAAATTCTGTATTTTAAGGCTCAAAAGATGACTTTGTTAACATAAATGCACCTGACAACACGCAGCTTGCATTTAAACCTAAGGCATTTTGATATGAGTTTGTCTAAGGTACAATTATTTTGTGCTCTTTCCTAACACTTTAGATAATAAAATAAACAATTTAACACTGCACAGTTAATAACTTACCCTTACTTGACCAACAAAAGCATTGGCTTCCTCTTCCTGTACAGACAAGTTTTTAGGTAGAAACATATCAAAAACTGGTCCGTTGTCATTTACGTCCATCACCACTATATTAACAGTAGCAGTTGAGGTCTACAGAGAAAGATAACATTATGCACAAATTATCTTTATTTTACAGTTTCACAGATGACAACTGATCACCAACCCTACTGCTTGTGTATTAGACACATTCAGTACAGAATCACAGGCAAACAGATTATCGATTTTTTTTTGCATGTTTTTGTGAAACAGGAGCTTTGTTCATTTGTTCATTACCTTTTTTTTCTCTTAAGACAAAACAGGCTGGAAACTGAATAATATATCAGAGATGCACAAAGACCATCAGATACCTTTTTTCTTATACAGTAATTTAAGGCTTTAAGGATCTTCCATTCTGAGTGGGGAAAAAAGCTAGAAATATCAAAATTTGCCAGAACTATAAATTTTGAAAGAAATTACAGCTTTTATTAATCAAAACATGCTACCGTGATGATTAGCTTAGATGATCAGTCAGCCTCTTCGCTGGCACAATCATGCTTCCACAGCTCCGTGGTGAGCTCAGCTGCCCTTAGCTCACTGTATCATCCTTCACCCACATCACGCTGACGTGCTATTAAGCATTAGCACATCAACTTTAACATAGAGAGGTGCCTAGTGTGAACAGCAAAAGTAACTACATTTAACACATATAAAATTTCAACAAAACATGTCTGTACTCTCTACTGAAATTTTCTATCCAAATCAAAGCAACTGGAGAGTGAAACACTTTGTTCGCAGATCTTTAGAGCTTGAGTGAGATCCATTTCCACTGGTCCTAGGTATTGAGTATTTCAGACACAGAACAGTACATTAGTGTATTTAATACATTATTGTAATTAATACATTATTGTATTTTAAAATCAATTCAACAAATGCTAACACCTTTGCTATCAGATGTAGTTTTATTCCACAAATTCAATTCCAGCACAGCAGCAAGTAGCACTGCGAACTGTAGCTTCAGGTTTGTTACCATTTAAGATTGTAATAGAAACAGATAGATCAGGTAACACTACCTACTTCATGCAGTTAGTTATTGCAGAATAAGCATTGGCATTTCTGGTTTTCAAGTTTAACAGTTTTGCACTGAGGTGAAATACCTCAGTTTGAGCTAATTTAAACATTGTGGTAAAAGCAACAAGAACATGCCTCTGTTTTATGCCCTATAAATCTAACTACAGAAGAGCTGAGGCTAATAATGCAAGTTTCTGTGGCCTCTGACACAGGTCACAAAGAGAAGGAATGAACAATACTCTTCATCCACCAGAGAAAAGAGAAGCACAACTAGGCAAAAACCACAGTAAGGAAGACTGAAATGATACAGCAGGAAAGCCTTTCATTGCAAGAGCAGAGAAGCACAGACAGTGCAGGGAGGCTACAGCATCCTCCTCAGGAGCTGGACGCATTTGTATCTGGCATGAGCGACAGCAGTGTAAACTGATGCTGATGCCATGGTGGAGCAGTGGCTGGACAGGCTAACCTAGTATTACATGATGTCATTAGTCTATGAATGCTTCCTTCAGTGTTTCATTTAGTCCGTATGAAAAGAAAATAAAAATATCTTATTCTATAAATACAGATTGTTAGACAAGTATACTAAGGGAGACGTGCTAGAAAGAAACGTGTGTGAAGTTTAACACCGATGCCTTATTGCTGCAGCTTGCTAATGCTGGTTTTCCAGAACTGTTTTGTACTGTTCCCCCAGTGACAGTAATATTTGAAATGGTATCTGTGCTGCAGCCACTGCTACTGTGAAGTGCAGTGTGAAATCAAACACAGTCTATTAAATCAGCTTTCCTGTGCTGTGTCTAGATGCCTTCTGATACTGAGCTACTTTGCATCAAGCTACATTGGGGGAAATCTATCCAACATTACAGTCCTAGCAATTACACAGCGCAGTTGTAACCCCTGAAAAAGCCCCTTACTTTCAGCCGACTAACCAACCTGTTAGAAAGTGGCACCTCACTGGTTTCATAAAGAGATCTATAACCAACCTCCCTTAAAAACCAAAAAAAAGTCTGAACGTAAACCTGCATCTTTGTATGCCTTTTCTGAAACATCTTCTGTAACAAGCTTCAAGCAAGTTTACACACTCATAGCTCCCCACAGTAACTGCCCCCAATAAATGCAGAATGTGTTCTAATTTTTATTTAAGGGGCAGCTCCTTGTACTGGCCACCCAGGCAAGGCACTTGCAAAGGACAACTAACGTACTCACTATCTTTAGAATCATAGAACAGTTTTGGTTGGAAGAGACCTTCAAGATCATCGAGTCCAACCTTTGTCCTAGCTCTATCAACACCACTAAACCATGTCCCTAAGTACAACACCTACCTGTCTCTTAAACACCTCCAGGGATGGTGACTCCACCACCTCCCTGGGCAGGCTGTTCCAACACTTGACAACCCTTTCAGTAAAGAAATTCTCCCTAATATCCAGCCTGAATCTCCCCTAGTGCAGCTTAAGGCCATTTCCCCTTGTTCTATCACTTGTTACTACGGAGAAGAGACCAATCCCTGCCTCACTACAACCTACTTTCAGGTAGTTGTAGAGAGTGATAAGGTCTCCCATCAACCTTCTCTTCTCCAGGCTAAACAGCCCCAGATCCCTCAGTTGTTTCTCATATGAGACATGCTCCAAATCCTTTACTAGCTTGGTAGCCCATCTTAATAGCATTTGGTCATGCTTTCACTGCTGCGTTGTCAGTTCAATCTGACAACTTGCTCTCTGCAGAAGAGATCCTGTAACAGGTCAGTCTCGCTCACCTTCCAAATCCTCTGATTTGGCAGGCGGCCCAGTCACTGATATTAGATCAGCTGCCTCTTTTCACAGCTATAAATGTGGCTGGTGTGTTTGCATCATGTCCCACGTACTCACTGAGGTGCTCCCTGTGCCAGCAGGCTGCCTTAACAACAATCCTTCTTGATACTGGCACAGCAAATAGCAGATCCCAAGCACACACATGTGGCATAAATAGTATCCATGCATGATGCAGCACTTTCAGAGTGAAAGTTTTCCTGCAGTTTTTGTATGGAGGCAACTGCAGAACACAGATGTGTTCTACAATAGGCACCACACAGTAACTACTTAATACTTTAAAGAGTAACAAATAGAGAATATTTTTAAACAAGCAAACAGAAGGATGCTTTCAGGCTAGCTTCTTATATTTGCTTATGCTCAGTTATTTGCAGCTATTGTTTCTGAAAATGCCATTCTTGCATTCAATGTCTATAAGGAAAATGTACTTCACAATTTATGCAACATTGTCAACACAAAACACACTCCAGAATGTTCGCTCTGGTGTGCGAAGCACACTGAATATAAATCAATCTTCCCAAGCTAACTTGATTCCACGGAATACAGGCTAATAAAAAAACTTAGATTTAATAAACTCAGAGAAATATGGCATAACACCCCATTGGCTTAAGACAGTGAGTAATTCTTACTTTGAAAATATTTCTTTATTCAAGAGAATTTTAACAGCATGTGTCTTATAATCTGCGTCATTATTACTGACGATGATGTTGAATCAACCCACAGCACCTCTCAGAACAGCCGCCAAACCATGCCTTTGCATCCGATAACTCCTGAATCAAGTGCTGAAAGTAAAATTACTGTTGGAATTACTCACAGGTCTAACTTCTGTACATAAGTGAATGCCAATGGGAGGGGCTCACGTATTTATTTTAGATAAACATAGCAACACATTATGAGAAACTCTTACAAGCACTTCTCTTAAACGACAGTGTTTTTCTAAACTCACACAACTCTTGTGCTCTGGAAGCATGCTATTAACAACATGAATCTGCAGGAATACTTGACAAAAAAGGGAACTTTTCTGCTCTTCAAGCCTTCTTGAAACACAACCATTACTATATTATTAGAAATACAGAGCTTACTGAACCACTGGAGTAAGTCTAGAAGAGGTCATTTGAAATATCAAAGGAGACTCAGGTTTCACCTAAGAGGAGAGAGTGGAGGCAGCAGGGAAAGCTGAGCTCTGCTTACTATAACCTGGGTTTTAAGACAAATTTTAAGACACTTTTTAACATCTTTATCAATGATATAGAGGAGGTAATGAAACACACTCTCCCCAAGCCTGCACGCGACATCAAACTGGAGGTAGCAATTGATACGCTGAAAGGCAGGGCTGCCATTCAGAAGGACCTCGGCCAGCTGAGAAATGGGCCAAGAGGAACCCTATGAAATTCAGCAAGGACAAATGCCCAGTCCTGTCCCTGGGAAGGACAAGCCCCTTGCAGGGATCTGGGCCAGGGCCTGCCTAGCTGGGAGTAGCTCTGCGGAAAAGGCCCACAAGCGTCGGCCAATGGTGAGTGGAGCTCAGGCAGCAATTGAGCTGTACCGACAGGGGACCAGCCTGGAGACCCAAGGAAGGGATTGTCCGCTCTGCTCAGCCCTCAGAAGACCACACCACCTAGATACTTAGATAGTGTCAGGAGATAAAACAAGCATAAACTGAAACAAGAGAGGTTCAGACCAGACATAAGGAATAGCTTCTCCCCGTGAGGATGAAAATGAGAGCATTTCAGCACAATGAAGTGATAATGTTTTCTACACACTGTGCTCTAGCTTGTCTTCACATTGTAGACACGCACTGGGAACCTGGTGTCAGCACTCCCTGAATAAGAACAGAAAAGAATCAAGTTTTTGATGCCTTTCTATCATTAGATAGGGGTTACCTGAAAAATGCAACATATCAACTACCAACCTGACTTCTGTATGTGAATGGTGAAAGCTTTCTTGAGTTATTCTATAGGTTACTCTGTAATCTAGGACAGGACTTGTCATTGGTGCTGATAGATTCCAGGTCAGACTAAGCCCCCAGACAAAAAAATGATAAAATTCAAGGGGTTTTGCTTGGCTTAGTTTTGCAAGAACAAAAGAAAGTTTGTGAGGATTTTATAAGAGAGAGAGGGAGGTAGGACAAGAGACATTCGGAATTATTTCCCAACTCTTCTGTTATCTAAGAATTTTTAGTATTTTTCAAATTGATGGCACTTTTACTCCTCTTAAGGATCCTACCTTACCTGCCAGCCA